TTTTTTATTTAATATAATATAAATATTTAAAAAGTTATTTTGTGAGACTTTAATTACTAATTTACCCTCATCTTTTTCCCCCTTCTGTCTCATCCTCTCCTTCCTCCGACCTTCCTTGTTTTTTTTTTTCAGCTTTGCCTGAAAATCAGATCTTGGGTTCCTCGCGAACCCAGGATCTTTCTTCCTCCGACCTTCCTTAGTAGGTTAAACACCCATTTCTCCTTTCACCATTTTTGACTTGGGTTTTGAGCACGAGGGACAGACATGTGTTGCCAAGTTGGGGGAGAGGTTAACGACAGGATCTTTGATTCTCGCTCCCTTAAATCAGCAGGACTCCATTACCAGTCAGCTCGATGTATGTCTTCTTATTCTCTATCTTGAATGTTTCCATATTTACCTTTCCAAAGAGGAAAAGAAATTGAAAACCCAGAATTGTAGTTTTTTTATGAATTGAGTGGGGATGGTTCTAGCTCCAATAGTCTCCTTTTTCTTCTTATTTCTTTGATTCCCATTTTTCGCAATAAATTATCAATTAAAGAAGTTTTTTTTTTTTTTTTTCCTCCCGGTATCCGGGGCTTCGCCCCGATTAATCCAAACTCGACCTGCGTCGCGCACCTAAAAATGGTGGGTGAGTCTCCCAACGAAGGTTGCTGCGTACACACGGTCTCAAACTCAAGACCTTATTTAAGCTGGAACAAGTCGCTTACCACTTGATTCAATCCCTCGTTGGTTCAATTAAAGAAGTTCAATCTTAGGTTCTATTAAAGAAGTTCAATCTTAGGTTCTAGTTGGTTTGGCGGTGTTTCTAAGTTTTTTCTTTTTTTTTTTTTTATGAATATTATATGTTTGGTGGATAGAAAAGCTTTGGGAGTGTGAAAAACAAAAGGACAAATGTGTTGGTACTAAATTCATTGGTCTGTGTTGTTCCGAAATGAAATTGATTTTTGCGTTGATAATGCCAAGAGATTGTTATAGAATATCTGTTGTATACTTGCAATTATAAAAGCTGAAAGAAAAAAAAGGAAGGCCGAAGGAAGGAGGATCTTGGGTTCGCGGGGAACCCAAGCTCTTGAGTTCCTGAGGAACCCCGGATCCTGAGTTCGTGACAAACCCAGGATTTGATTTTCAGAAGGCAAAGCTGAAAAAAAAAAAAAAAAAAAAAAAAGAAGGCCGGAGGAAGGAGAGTACGAGACAAAAGAGGAAATAAGATGAGGATAAATTAGTAATTAAAGTCTCACAAAATAACTTTTAAAATATTTATATTATATTAAATAAAAAATTTTGTCATGTTATCAATTTTTATAGATGTATTTTTCACATAAATTAAGTAAAGAAAAAAATAAATTTTTCCGTTAATTAACTTATCACATCAATTAACATTTAACGAAAAGACTAAAAAAAGATCAGATTTCAAATAGTATGGATCAAAAAAAGAATTTTTTCAGAACAAAAACTCATAAAG